CACAAAAATACAGTATTTAACCTTCCTGTCGTGTTCAGGTTAAATCTGACCGATTTACAACTTAAATCTCTCATAAATATTATGTTTTACATCTGATTGCCTCGAGGCCTTATGATATCCTCCACACTATGCATTTGAACATATAAAAGTGATGATCATCTCTTTCATTGAATTATGAGTGCTTTAATCAACCACTATTTATTCATTTCTCTCTCTCTCTGGAAAGAAGCACAGAGAAGGAATCTTGTTCCCTTTCTTTCTTTCTTTCTTTCTTTCTTTCTTTCTTTCTTTCTTTCTTTCTTTTTATTTATTTATTCATTTCTCTCTCTGGAAAGAAGCACAGAGAAGGAATCATGTTTCCTTTCTTTCTTCCTTTTTCTTTCCTTCCTTCTTTCTTTCTTATCTCTCTTTTTTCTTTCTTTCCTTCTTCCTTCCTTTCTTCTTACCTTCCTTCCTTCTATTTTTTTGTTTATTTATTTAATTATTTATTTATTTACTTCTCTCTCTCTGGAAAGAAGAAAAAAGAAGGAATCTTGTTCCCTTTCTTTCTTTCTTTCTTTCTTTCTTTCTTTCTGTTTATTTATTTATTTATTCATTTCTCTCTCTGGAAAGAAGCACAGAGAAGGAATCTTGTTTCCTTTCTTTCTTCTATTATTTTTGTTTATTTATTTCTCTCTCTCTGGAAAGAAGCACAAAGAAGGAATAGTGTTGCCTTTCTTTTTCTTTCCTTCCTTCTTTCTTTCTTTCTCTCTCTTTTTTCTTTCCCTCTTCCTTTCTTTCTTTCCTTCTTCCTTTCTTCTATTCTTTTTGTTTATTTATTTTATTATTTATTTATTTATTTATTGATTTATTTACTTCTCTCTCTCTGGAAAGAAGAAAAAAGAAGGAATCTTGTTCCCTTTCTTTCTTTCTTTCTTTCTTTCTTTCTGTTTATTTATTGATTTCTTTCTCTGGAAAGAAGCACAGGGAGGGAATCTTGTTCCCTTTCTTTTAGCACTTTTAGTTTTAGCTTACCTTAGTATCATGTTCTATTAAACTTCTTATTGGGGCAAGCAAAGATGGCAATTTAGCTGTCAAGAAAAAGTAAATTAAATGAAAAGAGTTCAACTGATGGTTTTTTAATATTAAAAGGACTAGTAAAATCTCGCATCAATGTAGAGAATGGGTTTTTATGAAATGGAAAATCTTGCAATGTTTAATTACAAATGGGGTGTCAATCAGTGTATTTGTCATGCTGACTCTGAAAATGTTCTAAATATTTACTTGTAAGTATCAGCAGTTTAAAAAGAAAAAAATGCTTTGTTTTTTAATGTCATGTAAATTTTAATTAGCTAATTGTTTTTAGCTAATTGTTTTTTTGTGATAAAGAGACATTAAAAGTCTTTCTTCCTTAAGTTTTGTTTATTTATTTATTCATTTATTTCTCTCTCTGTAAAGAAGCACAGAGAAAGAATCTTGTTCCTTTTCTTTTAGCTTAGCAACAATTCTTTTATTATATTAGACTGTTATTATCTCACTCAACAATGACCAAAGTATAACTAGTGCTAGTTCTGAGTCCATGCTCACCGTATACCCTCAGTCACTATTCCCTATATTAGTACACTTGAAGGACTGAAAATTTGATCACTCAGAACACAGGGAAGGAGCATTTTGTTTAAGCTTTGCTGGTTAAATCATTCAGGTGGATTAAAATGTCAATTTCTTTGGTCAGACCCTGTGATAGTTATTTTAGCAAGCTGTCTATTAGTAATGAAACAAAGAATTTTGATTTCTGTCATCTTCTGTTAATATATTTTCAGCGCCTATTTTTATTTTCATTGCAGTTATTTTTTGTCTAATTCTGTAAATTCATGTTAAGCACTACTTTGAGACATTGTTCACAGCTAAAGAATGTTGAATAAAAATTTGGTGGAGAAAAATGTGCTAATATTAGAGTAGTTAAAACACTAATTAGGAAATTAACTAGTAGTTAGAACACTAAAAGTAAGGGGCAGGGGGAACACTAAAAGTAAGGGGCAGGATGAACACAACAGGAGGGTTAAATGAGGTGAACTCCAAAAAAAGGTCCACATTTTGAGAAAAAGAACCACCACTTATACCAGTCTGGCTACAGGCCTGCTATAGTTGTCTTACCATGTTCAAGTAATATAGTATTGTTAAAAACACTTTACTATAAATTACTATAGTATTTTATTTCATATAAGCAGCCAGTCGAATTCGTTTAACATGAATCCTCCATTGTGCTTCGGTATTTTTACTCCGAGTTAAGATTGATACAAGCCACCACATCTAATGCAGTGTTTTGAGTAAATTACCTGGTCTGACAGTGACGTCCTCTGGCTGCTTGACGCGTTTGGAAGAGCCGCCATGTTTACAAACCGTCCGCGCGGAGGAACTGACGAAAGCACAGTTCAATCTGCAAACAGAGGAGGTTGAACTTGAACTAAAACTTGTGAATCTTCTCACATCTTTTGCGTTATATGCAACCCAGGTTTGTTATGATAATATGTCGAGCTGCAGCTGTTTGTCCGGTGGAAGGCGTGAAAACTGAGCTCACTGTGTGAAGCGGGGAGTTTTTAATGTGGACTTCCTCTCTAACGCTCTCATGTTCGTTTATAAAATGGAGGGTTAGTCAGGGCAAACATTAAATGCTTGCTTAAGTTTTCAAAAAACAAAATGTTCCTTCTTAGGTTATACAGATGTGACGTTTTTATTTTAGATTTAAAAATATATATTTTCTTCATCTTATTGTTTAATTTATGCATAGCAAAACATCATTTGTATGTTACTTACAGCAGTTTAAAGTGTTAGTTGCAAGTTAGTTATTAGTTATTAAGTTTATAGTTTATTGTCCTACTATGGAAGTCAATGGTTACAGGTTTTTGGCTATAGGAACCGAACACCAGTAACCATTGACTTCCATAATATTTGCTTTTCCTACTATGGAAGTAAGTGGTTACACATTTTCAGCTATTTTAGGAAAACCAAAAACCAGTAACCATTGACTTCCATGATATTTGTTTTTCCTACTATGGAAGTCAATGGTTACAGGTTTTTGGCATTAGGAAAACCAAAAACCAGTAACCATTGACTTCCATAATATTTGTTTGGAAGTCAATTGTTACTGGTTTAATTTCCATAATATTTGTCTTTTCTACTATAGAAGCTAATGGTTACAGTTTTTGGCTATAGGAAAAGCCGAAAACCAGTAACCATTGACTTCCATGATATTTGTTTTTCCTACTATGGAAGTCAGTGGTTGCAGTTTTTTGGCTATTTTAGGAAAACCGAAAAGCAGTAAAATTTTTGTTTTTCCTACTATTGAAAGTCAATGGTTACAGGTTTTCGGCTATTTTTGAAAGGCAAAAACAAGTGACCATTGACTTCTATATTTGTTTTTCTTACTATGGAAGGTAATGGTTACAGATTTTTGGCTATTTTAGGAAAACCTAAAACCAGTTTAATATTTGTTTTTTCTATTACTGAAAGTCAATGGTTACAGGTTTTCGACTTTTTTTGAACAGGCAAAAAGCAGCACCCATTGACTTCCATATTTAAAAGTTAATGGTTACACATTTTTTAGGCTATTTTAGAAAAACCAGTAACCATTGCCTTTTATAATATTTGTTTTTCCTAATATGGAAGTCAATGGGTACATGTTTTCAGCTATTTTAGAAAAACCGAAAACCAGTAACCATTAACTTTCCTAATATTTATTTTTTCTACTATGGAAGTCAGTGGTTACAGGTTTTTGGCTATTTTAGGAAAACCGAAAACCAGTTTAATATTTGTTTTTCCTTTTATTGAAAGTCAATGGTCACAGGTTTTCGGCTATTTTTGGAAAGGCAAAAACTAGTACCCATTGACTTACATATTTGTTTTTCCTACTATGGAAGTCAACGGTTACAGATTTCTGGCTATATTAGGAAAGCTGAAAACCAGTAACCATTGACTTCCATAATATTAGATTTTCCTACAATGGAAGACAATGGTTACACATTTTCAGCTATTTTAGGACAACCGAAAACCAGTACCCATTGACTTCCATGATATTTCTTTGGAAGTAAATGGGTACAAGTTTATTTGTTTGTCCTACTATGGAAGTCAATGGTTACAGGCTTTCGGAAAATATTTGTCCTACTATGGAAGTCGAATTGGGTGGTGTAGTGAAGGACCAGCGGGGTTATATTGGTGCCGTGACCCAGATGGAAGTGAGGTTTAGGGTGGTGAGTGTAGTAGAGGCCATCTAGCGAAGTGCTATGCAGGTAAACCTCACTCCTCTGACCTCTAAAGATGCTCTAGCGACAGCACTAGAGGCCATTTTCTTTAGACTCCTTGGTAGAGCAACCGACTCTCATGTGGAGAGTCGGTGGTTTGATCCCAGTTTAGATGGTGTAGGACTAGCGGGGTTACATATGCCCCAGGGCATCCATTTAATTGTTATCCCATACAAAGTCGCGGAATTAAAGATCTGATTTGTTTGAAAAACAACGATCTTTACTGCCTGGCTGAGATACGATATAAAGTTTGTATCAGACCAAACCAGAAGCACTGTGCTAAATTATATATATTTTTTGTTCCATGTCTTTAAAATACAGAAATTAATTTTACCCCAGCATTTTCAATGGAATTTCTGCATTAGCCAACCAAAATGGATGCTTAGTCTCATTCATTCATTTTCTTGTCGGCTTAGTCCCTTTATTAATTCTGGGTCGCCACAGCGGAATGAACCGCTGGATGCTTAGTCTATTTAACTGATTATATTTGAATTGCATCACAACATCGATGCTGTAAAAGGAACATTATGAAATCGTAAATAGTCACAAGCTTCACCGGAAGTTCATCATTGGCTGTAAAACACTAGCTGTTCATATAGCCCATTCTAAGACAAAGGGAGGGTTATTTGGGATAAAACTGTTAGTCCTCCTACACTGCATTACGAAAATAATGTCTGAATTACGAAAACACAAACAATTAAGTGAAATAAAAAAATCACCAGCAAATCTTGTTCTTCTTTTTTTATTAAATGAATAAAAAACTACATCATTAGCACACAACGAAGAAACAAAAGAGCATATCGCAGAACCAAAAATACAAACATACAACAAGTGGAAAAGACAGTTTGTTCTACAGGAGTGTGTTGTGCTTTACTTTTTTAGCTCTTTGCATATAATCTTAAACATCACAGACTCGCGGCCTTCAGTGATACTCACTTCACTGGCAACATTTGGGCTACATTAATACCTACACAGGCAATAGATGACTGTACTTAGAATGCTTTACATGACAAGAAACCTACAGGTTGAGATTAAAGATTCACTCTTAAAGAAAGGCCATTTCTAAATGATTTATTCTTTATAGTGAACATTCAAATAATCTAAAGAATTGAATTTAGGATCAAATGTACCGATACAGAGCCTTTATTTTAAGAGTGTAGGTTTTGGAACACAGCCATTCCAGCGGGCTGTGAAAAAAAAGACAAACACGTCGAAAAATGCAAATCGATAAAACGCCACAACCTTGACGTCTATTTGACATCAAAACATTGATGCTCTTTTGACCACCAACATAATGACTTAAAAAGTATTATAATATATAAACATTTTTAATCTGAAAGCTTAAAATCCAGAGTTTGTATCCATATAATGTTTGTAAACTTCCTTGATGTTAAAATGACATCTAATTGACATCTATTAAAAATCGGTTAAAGAGCAGGCCTGTAATCAATGCGTTTTTTAGATGCCAATATTAGATGTCAATTTGACGTCTTTTTTACATCAAGGTAGTCGACTGACATCAATTTTAATTTTTGATGCCAATATTAGATGTCGATTTGACACTTTTTTTTTACATCAAGGTAGTTGACCGATATCAAATCATTCACAGTTATGACAGGTTTTTTGACGTCAATTTTAGATGTCAATTTGATGTATTTTTTACATCAAGGTAGTCCACATATAAAATCAATTTGCAATTTTGACGCCAATGTTAGATGTCAATTTGACGTCTTTTTTTAAATCAATATAATTGACTGACTTCAAATCAATTCACATTTTTGTTGTGTTTTTGACACCAATATTAGATGTCAATTTGACGTCTTTTTTACATCAAGGTAGTCGACTGACATCAAATCAATTTGTGTTTTTGACGCCAATATTAGATGTCGATTTGATGTCTTTTTTACATCAAGGTAGTCCACATATAAAATCAATTCACATTTTGACGCTAATATTAGATGACAATTTGACGTCTTTTTTACATCAAGACAGTCAACTGATATCAAATCAATTAGCATTTTTTGCGCCAATGTTAGATGGCAATTTGACATCTTTTTTACATCAATGTAATCGACTGACATCAAATCAATTTGTATTTTTGACGTGTTTTTGACGCCAATATTAGATGTCGATTTGATGTCTTTTTTACATCAAGGTAGTTGACTGATATTAAATCAATTAACTTTTATGACGAGTTTTTTGACACCAATATTAGATGTCAATTTGACGTCTTTTTTACATCAACATAGTCGACTGATATCAAATCAATTTGTATTTTTGACGTGTTTTTTGACGCCAATATTAGATGTCGATTTGATGTCTTTTTTACATCAAGGTAGTTGACCAATATTAAATCAATTAACTTTTATGACGAGTTTTTTGACACCAATATTAGATGTCAATTTGACGTCTTTTTTACATCAACATAGTCGACTGATATCAAATCAATTTGCATTTTTGACGTGTTTTTTGACGCCAATATTAGATGTCAGTTTGACGTCTTTTTTTAAATCAAGACAGTCAACTGATATCAATTAGCATTTTTGACACCAATATTAGATGTCAATTTGACGTCTTCTTTACATCAACATAGTCGACTGATATCAAATCAATTTGCATTTTTGACGCCAATATTAGATGTCAGTTTGACGTCTTTTTTACATCAGGGTAATCGACTGACATCAATTCAATTCGCATTTTTGACATGTTTTTTATGTCGGTTTATCATCAAGGAGCCCGCTGGGTTGGATTTAATGCAACACACATCTAAAAACAAATCTTTGGAGATAAACACAATTTTGGTCTTGTTTTAGGCTGATCTGATTCATTTGGAGTCACAACAAACTCTCGACATAATAATGACTGGTAAAAATACAGCAATTACGTTGACGCATAGATCGCCATTCTGTAGAAGCGAATGTTTCCGGTACCACATTACCGAGAGGTTTTCGATTACCCAGAGTTCCTCGCAGGAGTCTGTAACTAACCCAGCTCACAATTTTCCTGTATCCCCAGGCAATAATCAAGGAGAGGCACAATGGGAAGGAAAATCAGCAGTCCCATAAAGGCATCAAAGCGGCAGTGAATCAAGCTGAACACGGGCACTTCTGCTTAGATAACAAGGCCTGAAGGATGACCAGTGATCAAGAAAGCAGATCCTTCTCTCTTCATCCATCTTTCTACCCGTTTCCTTTGCTCTTTTTGGCCTCGGGTGAAGACAGCAGGTGTGAGCATGGGAAAAAACCTCTGGGTTATGAGCTGAAATATTCACTTACACCTGTTACGTGAATGTGTGTGTGTGTGATGGCCACTTTACCCTCCTTGTATGAGCTTGTGCATGGTTTTGTTATTCAAATAATCGAAGGCGATCTCCTTTCAAACATGCTCAATTATAATCTCCGATTTCAGTCATGGCAAGAACAAGGTAGGAAAAAATAGACACATAATGTAGGTGCTTAGAGCAACATCTTATTCACACATTAGATGACTCTTCGGCGATGTGGCTAAATAGCATGTGGAACTCAATCTGGCAAGAACGTCTCCATTATGTGACATACAACCTCTTAAATAAACATTTTTAGTGCATTAAAGCTGCATTTGGAGAAGAAGGACGAAAAAAACACACAGATAATATTACCTTAAAATTAGTTTTGTATAATTTAGAGAGAATATATTACAGTAGCACAACTTCCAATTTTATATTAAAAGAAATATTAGGAAGAATAGAAGAGAAAGAGAGAAATAAATCAAATGTGAAATGTTTAAAACGACCTGGAAGTAGGAATGATCCATTTTGGCTCAAATAAATTATAAAATGTTTAAAACGAAATACACAAACCACAAAACTAAGCACAATCGCTCGAAGAAACTGCAAAGTCAAAACAAAAGCGATCAACACTGAGGAAAAAAATACTCTAAAACTAATTCAAAACAAACAAACATGTTCTCCACATGTTCAAAGGCAAGTTAATTGTTTGTGATTTTGGCGTGAAGCAAGAAATCATATTAAAAAATAATAAAAAACCGGCTGCCTGCCTTTAGATTATAGAGTAGGTTCACTCTACATATTTACTGCAAAGGGTGAATCTCACAAAAGCCCGTCCAGATCACATTTCAGCTCCACATCAAGACATCTAAAATACTTTTTTGCATACAGAAAATGATCCCTGTGTTTCTGTGCATGACTTAATTGATCATTTCTTTCATATTACATTAACAACAAATGTTTTTTGCATAACAATATGAGAACTTAAAAGCCAAATTTGCTTAATTTTGATGAAAATGATGTCAAAATCTAATTTGATTTGTGGTTAAAGCGATAATTCATCCAAAGCTGAAATTCTGTCATTTACTAACCCTTCACTTGCTTCAAAACTTTATTAGTTTCTTTTTCTTGGCTGACCCTGAAAGCAGATATTTCGAAGAAAGTTTTTTTTTCCCTACTATGGAAATCAATGGTTACAGGTTTTCGGCTATTTTAGGAAAGCCAAAAAGTTAATGGTTACACGATTTTGGCTGTTTTAGAAAAACCGAAAACCAGTGTAATATTTGTTTTTCCTACTATGAAAGTCAATGGTTACAGGTTTTCAGCTATTTTAGGAAAGCCGAAAACCAGTAACCATTGACTTTCATAATATTTGTTTTTTCTACTATGGAAGTCAATGGTTACAGGTTTTCGGCTATTTCAGGAAGGCCAAAAACCAGTGACCATTGACTTCCATAATATGTGTTTTAGGTACTATAGAAGTCAATGGTTACAGGTTTTCAGCTATTTTAAGAAAGCCAAAAAACAGTAACCATTGACTTTCCTAATATTTGTTTTTCCTACTAAAAAAGTCAATGGTTACAGGGTTGAGGCTATTTTAGGAAAGCTGAAAAGTTAATGGTTACATGATTTTGGCTATTTTTGGAAAACCAGTGTAATATTTGTTATTCCTTCTATGGAAGTTAATGGTTACAGGTTTTCGGCTATTTTAGGAAAACCGAAAACCAGTAACCATTGACTTTCCTAATATTTGTTTTTCCTACTATGGATGTCAATGGTTACAGGGTTTCAGCTATTTCAGGAACGCCAAAAACCAGTAACCATTGACTTCCATAATATTTATTTCTCCAATGGAAGTCAATGGTTACAGGTTTTAAGCATTCTTCAAAGCATCTTAATTTGTGTTCAACAGAAGAAACTCATAAAGGTGTAAAAGCACATGAGTGTGAATAAATATTCCATTTTGTGTGAACTATCTCTTTAAATATGATCTGGATATGCTGACAGAATGTGACATTCACCCCAAAATAGTTTTTAAAATGAAAATCCCTCCTCACAATGACCCACCAACGAGAGTTATTACAAGTTCACAACATCTCACCATTTGTCGTTCAGAAAATTATGGAAAGTACCTGAAACTTGTGGGCGACACTGCTGCTTAGCATTATTATGAATGTGTGCTATATTTACACAATAAAAGTCCCACAGTCCTGCAGCTCTGTGAAGCCCTTGCTGAAGTGTTCGGCTCACACAAATGATCATAAGGCAAATGTTTGCAAATAAATCCATGAAAAAGCGCCTGCTTTATTATAATTTTTTTGGTTCTTCTTTCATTTCTTTGGTCGTTCAGCTTTTTAAGTAAAAAAAAATGCTGATATATTACTATGAGATGCCTTATTATTTTGTTAAAGCATAATTTTGTACTCTTTCTATATACACCTTAATCGGAGGTCCATTTTTTTGTGTGCATCATGCGCAACTCTTCTGGTCATTTGATCACAGGATGATGAAGAAAGCTAAAAAAATGATCATGCAAGACGTTTCACCTCTTCTCTTAACTCTGACCAGTCTTGTGTTTTTCTAAATCTTAGTACGGCCTCCAGACAGACTCATCTATGCGTGTGGACGCGCTCATGGCTGTTGGTGAATTACTATGACTTCCGTCAGCATCAACTCCATCGCTTTGGTTCCCGAGGTTGGCATTGATCAGGTTGTTGTTTCCGGTGTTTCCTGCCGCTCCGCCAGCAGCTGTACAGGACGTCAGCATTCTGGTGGGTGATCGGTCGCCCCCTGATCCAGAGCCGCCGGTCGGGATCATGGAAAACTGGTAGGATCCGGAGCCGGTGCCGTAGTACAGATGATATGGCGAGGAGTTGGTCTGGAAGTGGGAGTTCTGGTTTTGGTTGCCCGGGTAGGGAGGGGGCAGGTAGGTGTGGTAGCGGCTGGAGGTGGGCATACCGGCCACACTCAGTCCCCCGATGCCAGTGCTGGACGGGTTGGCGGAGTATGTGAAGTGGCTCGGATAATGCATGTGCGAGTCAGAGAAACGAGGCGCTGTTAGTGGAGACAGAGACGGGAAAGACGTCCTCTGCTGGAACAGATCTGTACCTGAAACACACAAACAAAGCCAGACTTGAATATTTTAGACGATATAAAGAGGATAAGAGTGTGAGTAGAGTAAGACATGCTCACAAGATCCATTTTTAGAGTCACATTTTCATGCTTCTTAAAAATTATTTAATAAACTGTTATTATTAATACATTTTAAATTTATTAATAATAACAGGCAACTCCTGACAAATCGGACTAAGCCGAAGGAAAATGAGTGAATGAATGATAATAATAACAATATTAATAATAACCAAATTAAACAAAGTAAATAACTACTTACAGAAATAATTGTAAATGATATTTATATAAAATAAAAACATTTTATAATTAACCCATTTTAAATAATATTTATAATATGTATATAGCAGCCCGGTGGCTCAGTGGTTAGCACTGTCGCCTCACAGCAAGAAGGTCGCTAGTTCAAGTCCCGGCTGGGTCAGTTGGCATTTCTGTGTGGAGTTTGCATGTTCTCCCCGTGTTGGTGTGGGTTTCCTCCGGGTGCTCCGGTTTCCCCCACAGTCCAAACACATGCACTATAGGTGAACTGAATGGATGTATTCGCAGTACTGGGTTGCAGCTGGAAGGGCATTCGTCGTCTAAAACATTTGCTGGATAAGTTGGCGGTTCATTCCGCTGTGGTGACCCCTGATGAATAAAGGGACTAAGCCGAAGGAAAATGAATGAATAGGAAAATGAATGAATTAATATTTATATAACTAAAGTTAACGTAACATAACATATAATGTAGTCAAACTAACTTAAAATACTATGTGCTGACATCATGGTAAAGACAAAAGAAATAAAAAACTGATAAAACTGAGATAAAAAATCTCCCTTTAACAAAACTTGGGAAATTTGAACTTGGGCTAATAATTGTCTTTGACATATATATATATATATATATATATATATATACACAAACACACACACACACAGTTGAGGTCAGAATTATTAGCCCCCTGTTTTTTTTTCCCCGATTTCTATTTAACAGAGAGATGCCAGAATTTTTTCAGAAAATGTCCTTGCTCTGTTAAACATCATTTGGGAAATATAAAAAAAATAAATAAATAAAAGGGGGGCTAATAATTCTGACTTTAACTATATATATATTTGTCCAAACCCAGAAATACACAAAAATATAAAAAAATAAAACCATAAACAAAACTAATAAAAAAAACCCCGAGGATCTAAAAATACTAAAGTGTACCTTAATAAAACTAAATACAAGATTCCACATTGTTAGGCCAAATAATTACCAAGTTCTCCAAGATTACTAGATAACGTTTACATCTTTAATCATTTCAGTCATTTTTAAAAAATCAAGACTGAAATTAAAAAAAATATGAAATAAATATAGCTTTAGCAAATAACACACAAAAAAGTCGAATTATTTTAATTAATGTAAATATTAATGAAAAACTTTTTATAATAATTATATTATAATAATAAGTTATTAAAAAAATTATGTATATTAGAATATTATATTAACATTATATTATATGCTGTAAAGAATGCTTCATTCCACACAGTTCCTTCATGTTTTCCAACACTCATAAATTAACATAACTCTTCATTTTCCTTCGGCTTAGTCTCTTTATTTATCAACCAAAGGTACCCACAGCGGAATGAACCGCCAACTTATTCAGTATATGTTTTACGCAGTGGATGCCCTTCCAGCTGCATCCCAGTACTGGGAAACACCCATACACACTCATTCACACACATACACTACGGCCAAATTCATTCATTTTCTTTTTGGCTTAGTCCCTTTATTAGTCAGAAGCCGCCACAGCGGAATGAACCTCCAATTTATCCAGCATATGTTTAAGTAGTGGATGCCCTTTCAGCAGCAACCCATTACTGGGAAACACCCATACACTCTCATTCACAATAGACAATTTGGCTTGCTAAATTCATGCAAACTCCACACAGAAATGCCACTGACCCAGCTCGAACCAGCGACCTTCTTGCTGAGAGGCGACAGAGCTAACCACTGAGCCACCTGATTAGGATAACAGTCTTTTTATTTATTTACTTTTTTTTCAAATTTCAGTAGACTGAACATAAAACAATTAAGTTGTCCTGCCAAAAACTGAAGAACTGTGTCGTTTCAAATCATTTTAAATACATAAATTAAACAAGCGACACTTTTGTTTAGTCTATAAATATAGTGTTAAAATCGCCATCAGATGAACTACTGCCACAGAGCCCTGCGGCCACACTAAACTAGCGCCACCTAGTGTCTCCATACTCCACGTAATCAGCCGATAACTGTAAATGTAACATTATGAAGCAGTGGAGGACGATAACGTCTGGCCTTTTCTCACTTATTATGATTTACTCTTCACATGCGTCATGATAACAGGTGTACAGTGTGCGTCTGTGCACCTGCGAACTAACACAAACTCTTTATTTTTCTGCTTAAGTTACTGCCCACGTGTGAGAGCAGGGGCTGCTGGGATACTGGAGCAGGCTTTGGCATGCCAGCGCCTGAGGGAGAAAAAATGCCGTCTTTTTGCTTTGCGTGCCATTGACTTGTTTAAAAGTCTCTCCCAGCATTTGTCTGGGGCACCGAGTCCATTTGCACACACAGCAACAGAGAAAGGGAGAGAAAAACACACAGCTCCATTTCAATTTCCTCTCTCTTTACACAGAACATGCTCTAGTTTTCTGTCTGAGGGGTGTTGACGTTCTCTTTTACTCATTTTGGGGGGCCGGAATCTAGATTTCAGTCTGCTGTTGATTCAAGTGAAATGGCCATGAAGTTGTGCCAGACTCAACAGTTTTATTTGAGCACACACACAGACACAGACAGTCACACATACACACCATATGAGATTAATTACTCAAAGCGGAAATCTGACAAATGAGTGGAGAAACAGCTGCGAAGCAGATATAACACCCAAACTGTAGATGTTGTTTACTCTCATTAGCCTCTCATTCAGACTCAGTGTCGCCCTCTAGTGCATCACAGGATATTAATGACACTACAGTTTTCTGTGTTTTAATTCTTATTAACAAAATCCCTGGCCAATGACAGCTGTAGTGGCATATTAGTGTTTTGACATTATTTATAATTTTTATTTTTTAATTCATTTATTAACTAATAAAATATAAATAAAGTAATAACTCAATTCTGGCTCGCTTTTGAAGACCACAGCTGAAGAGAATTACTATTTTCTCCTCACACATGATCCATATTTACGTGACATTTTCCCAATAAAAAATGGTTTGATATTACTGACAACTTATTTAAAGTAGGAAATTCCTCTATTTAAAAAAAAACAACAACAATCAATTTTAATGAAATACTAATTACCATAAATATTATGATCTATCTATTTATCTCGCTCTATATATCGTTCTATCCATCCATCCATCCATCCAATCTATCTATCTAGTTCTATACATTGTTCTATATATTCTTCCATCCATCCATCCATCCATCCATCCATCCATCCATCCATCCATCCATCCATCCATCCATCCATCCATCCATCCATCCATCCATCTATCTATCTATCTATCTATCTATCTATCTATCTATCTATCTATCTATCTATCTATCTATCTATCTATCTATCTATCTATCTATCTATCTGTTCTATATATTTTTCCATCCATCCATCCATCCATCCATCCATCCATCCATCTTGTTCTATATATTATATTATCTATCTATATCGTTCTATATATCCATCCATCCATCCATCCATCCATCCATCTATATATCTATCTATCTATCTATCTATCTATCTATCTATCTAGTTCTATACATTGTTCTATATATTCTTCCATCCATCCATCCATCCATCCATCCATCCATCCATCCATCCATCCATCCATCCATCTATCCATCTATCTATCTATCTATCTATCTATCTATCTATCTATCTATCTATCTATCTATCTATCTATCTATCTATCTATCTAGTTCTATACATTGTTCTATATATTCTTCCATCCATCCATCCATTCATCCATCCATCCATCCATCCATCCATCCATCCATCCATATTTCGTTCTATATATCGTTCTATCTAAGCCATCTATCGGCCACATGACCTGACAATAAACAATACATATACAGCTTTTATTATTTAATGAAAAAAACATTAACTAAATGTTATGATATGTTTGCCAGAAAAAGAGCAAACCAAACATATGGGTTCAGCTTTTTAAAAGGGTATTTATTGATGTTTTAAACCAACTTTAATCCATTGCTGAGTGTGTAAAGTGTTATCATTAAATGCTTAAATGTATCTTCTGTTTTTGCAGAAGCAATATTAGTCGTAAATAAAAACTTCTCTGGAAAAAAATGACACATATTTAGCCATATTTTACATTTGTTGATGACTAATCTGAAGTGTGAACACATACTTCTAACTAAACTAGCAGTAAAGCACTTGTTTCCCCCCCAGATGGAATTAAAGAGTCAAAGCCCCCAACGGCTCGCCCAGACAGAGTTTGTGTTTTTGTGCACCTGAGCGATCAGTTCAGTTCTCCGTGATCCACTAGCCCACAGTCAAGCGTGTAACCAGCTTCACTACAGAGGTTTGCCTCATTTGCCTGCTGTAGAAACTGATTTTGTTTGTTAACAGAAGAGCAAGCAGTAGCTAGTCGGCAGGAATTGTGCGTGTTTGTGTGTGGGATCAGGCTTCTGGTGAGGATGCAAATCTCGGCCCTCACCTGTAAAATGGCAATGCAAAAACAGATGGATTACACCTGGACCAGGCAAATCCTGTGGCCGCCATGGAAAAAGACACACAGAGACATGAAGACTGAAATATTCATACTTGATACTCTATATAATCTAATCAAATCCCGTTTATTTGCTTCAGAATGCAGGATATTGAAAATGCCACATATCAAACTATCATACGAGTGTGTGGATTCGGTTGCAGAGTGGCTTACTTGTTCATGGTTTGAGTTTCTACTATGTGGTTTTATGCTCAACTGGTGACACAAACCCACAGGAACCAACCAAACAATCACTA